TCCAACATGGTCATAGTCTCTTGCGCAAACTGCMGGTTCTGCGACTTGAAACAGGAAACACCAGCATACCTGATTCTGCCTTAAACAGCAATTTTCAGAAGCAGGCCTAAGGCTATGGGTTCACCTCAGGAGCGCCCAGGAGGCTGMTGGACCTTGGTGACCATACATGTGTGATATAAGAGAGGGTCCGATAGACCCTAGGTCGCAGTACAATACCTCAGTATTAAATATCTGTCTATCTATCTCGAACTTAGCTTTTGCTTACTGGTTTGCCATTAACAAATAAAATTTGTGTGGATTTAAGCTTAGAGCCTTCTAAAAAAGACGGAACGAACTTTAATGCTTATAATCATAAAAAGATGGTAAGAGCAGAATCTRAAGAAACATCGGCGGAAAAATTTCATGTTTACAGTAAATATACATATGTAAGTAATATCTTTTTTAATAAGTTTGCATCCTATTTGTGTATTTGAATCAGTCTGTCAGCTTAAGGCTAAGGTCTTCCTGTTTTCATTCGTAAATGCCTTTCAGTCATGTGCTCGCCTCATCACAGTCATTAGAAAACAAGCAACAGCAACAGAAGCGGCAAGAAGAAGCACAATTATTGCAGTAAGAATAGTCATGAGTTCAAATGGCTGGCGTTTAAGGTGAACTCGTTGCGCTGTTTGGCTATTGCTTTTCGTTTTGTTTTCATATTGCCCTATCAGAGTTTTTATTGTGCTTACATACATATGTATAGTTATGTTATGAGCACGTCTTCATTTTTATACTTTCGCAACAAAGTTGCTAAAAAGAGTATTATAGTTTTGTTCACATAACGATTGTTTGTAAGTCCTAAAACTAAAAGAGTCAGATATAGGGTTATATATAACAAAGTGATCAGGGTGACGAGTAGATTTGAAATCCGGATGTCTGTCTGTCTGTCCGTCCGTCCGTGCAAGCTGTAACTTGAGTAAGAATTAAGATATCATGATGAAACTTGGTACACGTATTTCCTGGCTCCATAAGAAAGTTAAGTTCGAAGATGGGCAAAATCGGCCCACTGCCATGCCCACAAAATGGCGGAAACCGAAAACCTATAAAGTGTCATAACTAAGCCATAAATAAAGATATTTAAATGAAATTTGGCACAAAGGATCGCATTACGGAGGGGCATATTTGGGCGTAATTTTTTTGGAAAAGTGGGCGTGGCCCCACGTGTCAACCAAACTGTATAGAGTCGTTTCTTTTAGGCATTTCCATATAGAGTTTAAAAATGGAAGAAGTCGGACAATAACCACGCCCACCTCCCATACAAAGGTTATGTTGAAAATCACTAAAAGTGCGTTAACCGATTAACATAAAACGTCAGAAACACTAAATTTTACGGAAGAAATGTCAGAAGGAAGCTGCATCCAGGTTTTTTTTTTTTAAATTGAAAATGGGCGTGGCGTCGCCCACTTATGGACYAAAAACCATATCTCAGGAAGTACTMRACCGATKTCAATGAAATTCGGTATATAATATTTTCTTAAYACCCTGATGACATGTACCAAATATGGGTGAAATCGGTTCACAACCACGCCTAAAATCTCGATTATCACTTTATCATGCGAGAGTATAAAATGTTCGGTGACACCCGAACTTAGCCCTTCCTTACTTGTTGTTATTTATTATTTAAGTGGCTGATTACTGCTATTGACCTGTTGGCGTTGGAAGCCCGGCGCATGCGTAGTCGTTCACACTTACACCACATGTACTGATGTGCAAGTACTTTTACATCTGAAAGTAGGCTGCTTTTATTTTTCCGGATTTGGCAAACACAACTTAATGGTAAAACTTGACATTTCTAATGTGATACATATTGAGAACGTTTTGACATACAAGCATTATTTGTCTTGTTTACAGTAACTTAAAATATTCAGCTCGGCCAAAGAATTAAATCGCGAACGTTTTTTCACGATTATTTTTAATCACTTTCCACGTGGATAATCTCAGCAACAGTGCGTCAATGAATTTAATTAAATTTTTGGCTTTGAAAGTCAATTATGTACAAGTGCTTCTTGATGATATGGTGCATTCAATCGAGGTCGTAGCTTACTTTAAGACAAATTTTGTGGAGGTCATATAAAATCAGAAAACTGAACTTGCAAGATCATCATGTGAATCATCGTGGRATTGAGACAATTAAAGGCATTAGTGAAACTAGCATACCTTTAATATTCCATGAACATTTGATTTTAGAAAAAAATTTTGATTTAGAAAAAAAATTGTTCAAATATAATTGGACATGTTGCAATCATTCCACTAGAACAACGCAAAACAATGGTACATAACCGTTTTTTTTGCTAGTTAGGTTTCAAGAAATTAGGAAAATCAACCACCGAAGGCGGCTCACTCTTCACCTCGTCTGAGACAACTGCATTTTTGAGCACGTAAAACTTCGATTTGGTTAATAATCCACCGAATGACTTCTCGTAATCATAAATGTATCATATATTGTTGATGTGAATCAAGTTAATTTATAGACGTATTATATTACATTTAGACCCTTGTACCTTAGGTGTGTAGGGAGAAAATCGCTGTAGAAATCAATGCAATAAAAGTCAAATTAATTGGTCTAGAACAGTGGTTCCCAAACTTATTTTGTCTACCGCCCACTTTGAGAATAAATATTTTTTTAGCGCCCCATTTTTCACCTATTTAAAAACCACTATAACTTCAAATTAATTATTGTGACCTATAAATGTATATTAACGGAGAATTCTAAACGAAACTTTTATATAACCAGCAACTTGAAACCTGAGCGCAGTAGGTAACATACAACGGCGCTTAGGTCTCAAGTTAACTCTTACGGGCTCCATCTGCCAATAAGAATGTTTATTGAAACACAAATTTATAGTATTAAAACAGAGAATCTCTTTTTAAAAATGAAACTAAAATAATCGATCCATATATAAAAACTAATGTGAAGKATACCCGACGTCATTTCGCAAGTGATAAAATAAATTTTTCAAGGGCTCAAAGCATGCTGTAAATCAGCTCGAACCTACCTATCCTACACCTTTGCGCACATACAGATTTGGCAATGGCAATACGTTTGACAGTTAGTACAAGTTGTTGTTGAGAGTCGGCAGTTCATGTAGTAGTAATTACAAATAACCCCCCAGGCCTCTACACAACGCCCCCTTTTATTTCTGGGTGTCTTAACGCCTCCTTGACACCTGCAGCGCCCACAAGGGGGCGTTATCGCCCACTTTGGGAAACATTGGTCTAGAAGAACCCTGAAAGTGTAAGATGACTACTTTTTATATTTTTAAATATCTTCTACTGCAGGGTTTGTCCGGAAAGTAATAGGACTGATTCGGTTAAAAAAAAWTTATTAAACCAATCGTTACAATTATTTAAAAACTTTCAAAATAGTCTCCTTCTGCGTCGATGCAGCAGGAGAGATTTCCGAGTATTGAAGGCGTCACGGAAGGCATTCACCGGAATAGCCTTGAAAGCCGAGGTGTATGCTGCTTTTCGGATCGAGACAATTGACGAGCCGGGCAAGCTCCGAAGTACAGTCGCGGCGGAAGAAAATCAGTATTATTACTTTCCGGATAACCCTGTGTTTTCCCCTACATCAAAAACTTGGTATAGGTGCTCGAAGTAGAATCTGAATGCCCATAAATATACGTATGTATATGCATATAAAAACTTCGGTTGACTCTTACTGTCCACACCATACCTATTTGGATTTATCTAGTTTATTAGTTTTTGATTGAACCAATAAATTTTTAAGATTACAAAAGTAAATTTTCAAAATTTATAAAATTAAGTAAGTGACGTGGCACCGTATTTTTAATTTCCAAATCGTGCTTGGCGACTTTAATGCCAGGGTGGGCAAAGAAGGTATTTTTGGTACAACAGACGGTAAGTTCAGCATCGACGAAGAAACATCCTATAATGGGGTCGACTTCGCTGAGGCCTGTACTAAGGCCTGTAGTACTAAATTCCAAAGAGAGAGGCCAAAATGCGCGAGTATAAAGAGCTTGACAAGCTGGCCGACAGGGGTAATGGTCGAATATGCGAGAACAAACAGAWGGTTTCAAGACAGGAGATTACTCTTGTTGAACAGCCAGAGGGGATTTAGTGACTGATGTCCAGAGAATTCTAAAATTATGGAAGGAAACTTTTCCGGCCYGTTGAATGGCAGTGAAAGCATAATACCAGAAAATGGTGAAACCGATACCCCAATCGATGACGATGAAGGAGATGTTYCATTGCCCGACAATGAACAAGTTCGAAAGGCAATTACCCGTATGAAGAACAACAAAACGGCGGGGGCCGATGGATTCCCGGCGAAGAACTGATAAGGAGTATGGATCAGCTTCTTTATAGAATATGCAGGATAAGCCTCCTCATCATCGGAAGAAGAAGACCTTCACTCCATTGGAGAGRTCAGGTGGAAAAKGACCTGGCTGCAATTGGTATATCCAATTGGCGCCAAATTGCGAAAAACGAAACGACAGGCTCAGCGATAACCGCGTGAGCGTTGTTTACGCCAATAAAGAAGAAGAAGATAACAAATAAATATTACCACTAGGACCTTTTAAGTAGCTTCCAATCACCGATAAACATAACCAGAACCACATAGGAATGTATGTATGTTTAAAACGAAGATAACGATGATATGCAATGGACAACTCACCACATATACTCAAAACTGTACTACCGACTTTGGAAATAAAACTTAACTGCTTGTTGCGTGTTTAGTTGGTGCTCATGATACAAGCGCAGCTGCGTAGACACGACGAATTGTGAGTTCCGATGACATTGGTGTTGGTAATAAATAGCGTTACGGTCTGTGCTAGCTGTTACTATAGGTACTGCCAGTTACATTACATTTCCACACAAAAAGCTTTCTCAGCCAAAGCTTTGGAGACGCTGACGCTGTGCGACGAAGAATGCGTCAACTTTGGTCGGCGGTTTATTTTTTTTTCGTAGACACTTGGCCAAACCATTCAGTCGTTTGTTGGACACACGCCAATACGGTGTTGATTGCGGTGTTTTTAACTGCTAACGGTACTTGGAAGGAAGAAAAGTGAACCTTAAGCGAATATCGAAGTTTTTGTGAATCGTAAACGCCTGCGCAAACGAAGAACAGAAAGAAATGCGCATAAATACCCAAGAATTTTGTTTTTTGAAAACGAGCTTTCTACTTGGTTCAGTGTACGAATTTAATCAGTAAAGAAAGAAAAGTCGAAACYAAAAAATAACAAGTAAAAGAAAGTTTATTGAACACAACAGCCTCAAAATTTACTGGAATTGCGAAAATAAGAAAAAAATCTATAAAGTAACATCCATGTGGTGCAATAATTACTATATTTACTTTGATAATTTTGTGGGTTAAATGATTCGTACTAATTGGTTGAGATYGCAATAGCTAAACAATTAACTGTGGTATTTGACAAATTGAGCGCGCGGGCATAGTGTTGATGACAAATTGTTGCGAACTCTAAAGACCAATACTAAAAAATTTRGCAGGAACTTGCTGTGCCGGCGAAGCACTGAATTTAATTAGAAATACTCCAAGTGATTGTTAATTGTTTAAATAAATAATCTATATTTATTGTCGTTGCCATATTTTAAATAAAGGATTAAAGTTTTTGCGTGCCATTTCTGTACTGCCAACAACAAAGCGAGGCGGTATATTACAGCTGTCATTTTGAGGGTTACTAAGATGATTTTGAGGTAAGTTTTGAGGCGATAATAAACAMAAAAAAATATATACACTATTTATAGGGTTTCTATTTAATTATTAAAAATATACAGAAATAATTTATTACTTTTAAATGAGAATTTAATTTRTCGCTGTCAGTTGCTACTGGTGAAAACTAAAAAAGGTATATTCCTCATATGTACTTATTTGGCTTACGCTTGTTTTTTCAGTTGAGTGACGCTTCTTTGAGTGACATATTTACTGAAGGTTTTTGTTTATATACTATGCCCGTGCGTTCTTCGTGTATTTTTCTCATATAAAACAAATAAGCTTAAGATTCCCGATGTGTTGCTCATTTGGTATTCAGGTTAAATGCGTGGCTTATGTTCAATGCATGGAAGTGGTGAAGAGGTTGAAGCTGGTTTATCTGAAAACATAATTTGAAAAGTAGTGAAGCGAGTAGTTGTTGAATATTTCTTTTTTCAACGATATACAAATGAGAAGAACAATAGAATAAGTAATAGTTTTTATTGGACTATGGATTTACACAAAAATTGTTGCAACACATTGTTGAACATCTGCTTTTAAAGATGAATTCGTAAAAATGCAGACAATGTTTGATAATAATTCGATCAATTTTTGTTTGATTTTCTGAAAAAAAAAGGAAAATTAATTTGTGTTTTCTTGATGCATTGTTCAATACAAATAGCGTTCAAAAACTAGTTTGGTTTTGTACGCGTGTTTATATCTCATTGAGTTGTTGGGTTCAGCCTGTTTTTTTTTTTTCAAAGTCATGATAAAAGATTTAAGATTTTCTGTATCTGTTATATACAAATTAAGGTATGCAACGAAGGGAGATGTTTAGTTTGTGGTATTTGTTACTTTTTGTTTATTCGTCCAATCCTGCAAATGTTAAATCACTAACAATCAAAAAATAGTCCGCTTACTCTGTTAAAATGAAAGATTTTAGACAACTTCTCATTAAACACATCAATAAAAATAAATATCATAAAGTCATTGGATCTCATTMCTATTATTAAAACTTCACTGATTTTTAATAGAATCAATAAAAACACCAGAAAATATGATGTTTCCAATATGTGATACAGGTAAAAGTTTCAAAATATTCCTGACTTAAAAATGTTGTTAAAAATTTCGAAAACGTTTATAGTCCGGTGAATTGCATGCACAGAAATGAAGAGTGAAAAAATTGAACAAACCTACAACAAGCTGACAATTAATGAATATGTTCAGAACATTAAACATAATATACTATAACTCCTCATCGTTCCGGTATGTGGGAAAATAATCGAGGTTTTTTTCGTGACTCGTTGTAAATTAATGCATCTTCGTATATTTGTTCGTTTCTCTTTTCGCGCATTTTTTCCTCTTTCGAAGAAACGCTAAAGCTGTTCAAAAGACTTAAGTGGCAAACTTGCCGTAAATATGCATGCTCAAAACTTTACTTTCCTTCTAAGCTCTAGTATGAATTGCCTAATTTTAAGCAAAAAAAAAACTTAGACTTTTTAAGCTATGTATTTCAATTATCTACCTCTTTAGGAGGTATTTATTCAGATCACGCCATTTTTGCTGCCAGCAAATTTAATTAAAACATACACAGGGAAAATGAAGACGGTAGCTGATTTGTGATTTAATTATCCAATATTTTGAAAGTACGTATGATAAAGTCATTCTTTATTACCTCAATTGAGTTCTCTACGTTCGTCGGTAATGCTACATTCTCGTTGACGTCTGGTCACTGATGTTAGTTGTTCAGAGAGCCGTTGCATACACATTTCCAATACTTAGTGCTGCCTCTTGCATCAATTAATTTTCTTCAGTAACGCTGGTCCAAAGGGCGTGCCCCAACAATGCATAAATACAACCTCAAGCGTTGTTACGTTCACGCCTTAACAAAGTGTGCCATGAGGCTAATAACCGAAAGAGAAAAATCAATGAGTGTGAGGGGAAGAAATGCAAGTGAAGTGACGACGCCGACCTCTATTATGTTTGCATAAATTATTGTTAAGCTATTACTAATTGCGATAGAATTTCAAATATATGTGAAATCTGGTTTGTGTATAGAAATTGTTATTTGTGAAATAACGGTAAAATTTATAAGGAATTAAAAGAAAAAAAAAGTAGTTTTGTTGTAGCGGAATGCATGAGATTTACAGTAACAAATACGTAATCTGTATTGGAAAGGTCATTAACATTACCGTTCTATTTGCGGAGCTTCGTGACTAAATCAGGAAATTTAAAAATGTTTCTCTATTTTGAATCTGCAGTCTGCTTGTTTATTAGACAATTTGTTTTAGTATAATATTCCCTCTTATGAGCTCCAGTTAGCACAATAGATTAAAAAAAAAAAAAATGTTTCTACATTGAGCATAAGAGACAAATCCATTTATCATTCGTTTTTGATTTTGTTTAAATCATCAAATTAGTTATATGTAAAGCCTTTGCAGATACGTGTATTGTAAATTGTGTTGAATTGTTTTACTTCCATTAAATAAAAAGAAGCCAATACTGTGTAAGTTTGCTTAAATTGCTTCTCGCAATTAATATAAATAATTTTAATAGTTATTTGTTCATTAATTCTTACGGACTGATAGAAGAATAAGATTTAAATTAGAATTCTAAAATAATTAATTAACAAATACAAATAGATAACTTAAATTAAAAAACTGAATTATGGGTGTTAATGAAGGGATCCCTAGAGTGAGAAAAATCAAGAAAAACTTCCTCGTAAATCGAGTTAAACTCACGCATATCACGTTTGGGAGGAGAATGAACCGCAAATTTAGTATTCTCCTTTTTAAATAAAATGGGGAAATAGACCTGAGACAACTTTGAGGAGTATTGAAATTAATATTTCTATTCTAAAATTTATTTTATAAAATTTATTCTATTCTTAAATCTATTATCAGTAGGCGGGTTACCCCCATTTATTAGTTATCGAGCTACTAGTCTTAAAAAGTCAGTATATTTATTACTATATAGAGTATATTTATTGGTACATTTGTATTAATAACAAATTTGCCGGTATTTACATGCAATAATAACGATTTATCACATCAGCTTTTATGACCGAGAAATATTAGAAAAAAATTTCAAGTCTGTTTATCCTATTTGAATTTAATATAAATTTCTGAATATTTATCAAATATTACAGTCTGAACTTATGTTGCAGCAAATACTTTTGTTTTTCGCTTTCGCGTATTTTTATTATTGCATAGTCTATCAAATAAAACCCGAATAGCTTGATTTCACTGAGAAAAAGCCAACATTTCTGGTTCCACTCTCACTCATTTCACTCTCGACCAGACATCTGAATGAACTTTCATTGCTCCAATTCGTAATCAAGTGTATGTGCAACAACAATAAAACGGCAGTGGACACGTTTGCGTACAACGGAAGTGTGTGCAAATCGTTGCATTTTCCTGCATCATCCAACAAATACAAATCTACAACATATATTATACATGAACGTGTGTCTGTTTGTATAAATACGTATACATATTTGAACACGAGTTCAAGCTGCTTAGTGCTCTTAACTGAAATTTTAGCCTTGACACAAATTCTAGAATTATTTAATCCGTTCCGCTTTGCAACAGTAACAATCAAAGTTAAAAACAAGAAAAAACGTTAACTTCAGTTGCACCGAAACTAAATACCCTTCACAGGTGCATTTCTGTTAGTAATTTGTGTTCAGTTCGTATGGAAGCTATATGCTATAGTAATCCGATCTGAAATTTTTTTTCGGAGATTTTATTATTACCTTAAGTAGTAATCCATGTCAAATTTCGTGAAGATACCACGTCAAATGTGAAAGTTTTCCATACAAGAACTTGATTTCGATCGTTCAGTTTGTATGGCAGCTATATGTTATAGKGGTCCGATATCGGCAGTTCCGACARATGAGCAGCTTCTTGAAGAGAAAATTTCAAAACGATATCTTAAAAACTGAGGGACTAGTTCGTATATATTCAAACAGACGGACAGACAGGCTAAATCGACTCAGCTCGACATACCGATCATTTATATATATACTTTATACAGTTTCCGACCCTTTCTTCTGAGTGTTACGAACTTCGTGACAAACTTAATATACCCTGTTCAGGGTATAAAAAGATGACTCCGCGAAAGCTTACAAAATTAAGAGTTTGAGTTTTCGCTGAAACGGTGAAGTTGTGGCTAACAGCACTCTGTGTTTGTTTATTATTTCTTCCAACAATCAAGCATTGCTTAGCCTTCGGTCAAATGGTATTCACCTGGTGGCAGGCAACGCTTTCGGCTCTTACAGTCTAGTCACAATTCTTGAGCTAGTCGCCAATCATCAGCATTTAAAATTCTTTGTACATCCATCAAGTTTTGTTATTTTTATGGTCTTTGCTTCTATATTGGCATATTCTCTCTATTTTTATACTCTTGGAAACTTTTGTTACAGTGTATTATAGTTTTGTTCACCTAAAGTTGTTTGTATCACCTAAAACCAAACCAGAAAGATATTGGATTATATATGTACATATACCCGTGCAAGTCGTAACTTGAGTAAAAACTGAGATACTTTAATGAAATAATATTTGTGTTCTCTAGTACAAAAAAAAAAATACGAGTTCGTAGATGGGCGTAATCGAGCCACTGCCACGTCTATAGAACGTCATTAACCAAAAACCTATAAAATGCCATAACTAAGCCCTAAATTAAGATAAAAGACTGTAATTTGGCAAAGGAGATCGTAGTAATATGTTTAATGTGTATATCTCTTAAACCACTAAATCTACAGCAATAAAATTTGCTAGATTCAATTATTATAAGAGCTTCTACCGACAGTGTGAAATCGGAACATAATCCCGCTCACTCCCCATATAACGGTACTGTTAAAAACTACTAAAAGCGTAATAAATCAATAATTAAAGACGCCAGAAACATTAAATTTTAACTACGGGATGGTATAAGGGCGCTTTATGAGAGCAGGTGTTAAAATTAGAAGATGGACGTCGCACTGCCCACTTTTTAGTAAAATTCC